CTATTTTTCTTAAAATTATGAATTGGAGAAAGACAGCCATTTAAAATGTTCTGAATGAAAATCAGGCCACTATTATATATTTGCTTGAAGCCAGGAGAAAAGTATATGTATATTTTTCAACTGAAGCAAGTAGATAAATAAGATTTGTGGGGAAAGTTTCTCTTACATATAACTCAAGAGAGTATACTCAGCTTAAAAGGTTATTTATGAAGTACAAGGAAGAAAGCTATAATAAAGAACCCGATAGCTATAATTTAATTTTTGAGTGTTATAATTCAGATTCAGTAATTCAGTAGCAGATGTAAAAAATGAAATGAGAGAAAAAAATTAAAGTGCCACCAGACTGACTAATCAGTCATTGAAAATGCCTGTAGTGGGAATTTACTCAGATAGAAAATGTTTGCACTGTCATTAAAGACTCCTTAATTTATATTAGTGAACTAATATAATGACAGCAGAAAAATATACCCTGAGGCTGAGGCTATGCAGAAGACAAGCATTTCTAACTCATTCTGGTACTTAAATATTCTTGGTGCTCCTGGTATCCTCATCTCCCTGCCACCTCTATTAAAGATCTCTTCTCTTCTCTTCTCTTCTCTTCTCTTCTCTTCTCTTCTCTTCTCTTCTCTTCTCTTCTCTTCTCTTCTCTTCTCTTTCTCTCTCTCTCTCTCTCTCTCACACACAACATATACTCCTTAGAAATATTAGAATTAAGGTAGGGTAACACTAACTACAAGAAAATAATCATAATATTAATGATTTTCAACTCTTTAAGATTGGAATAAATGTATTAAAGGCAAGTAATCAGGCAGGTAATGCATATTAATTCTTTCCAACACTTTTTTGGGGTTCTGTTGTCTTTCAGACAAGTCTAGAAAGCAAAATAAGTAACTTTTAAATGTTTCGGAGAAATCCAGATTATTGCACAAATTTTAATTTCCAGAATATTCTTTAAATTTGGAACTTGCTAATATCTCTAACAAATTGGCTGTTCATTAGTGTAATTGTTGCTAGTTCCAGACCTAAAATACCATGTACCCTGTAAACCTAAAAACAAAAATCATCTAAGTTTATTTTTCTTAACTAGAAAGAAAACCAACATTAAATTAAATCAGGCTGTAGTGGGGGTACCAGGTCTGGAATGTCTGCTTTCTTTTTTGTTTCCCCTTAGATTACACCTAAATTGTTGTTTAATTCTTGGTAGCATATTTATAATAGAATTCTTATGTTAGAAGGTAGGGTATGGGGAGGATCGTGAAATATGATATGAATATTTGTAGATTACCTATTATGTACCAGTATAATAATACATCACTTTATAATTATCAATAATTTAATTTAAATTACTACCCTTTAAGGAAGGTATTATTTTCTTCATTTTGCAAATCAGGAAACGAAGGCCCAGAAACGCTAAGTCACTGGCTCAAGATAACCCAATTAATAATTGGTATGGCTGAGATTATAATTTGTGGGGCCCAGTGTAAATGAAATGGTGGAACTTCACTGTAAAAATTATTAAGAATTTTAAACAACAACAACAAAGCATTAACAAAGTGCAGAGCCCTTCTAAGGATGAGACACTGTGCAACTGTACAGTCATATGTCCATGAAGTCAGCCTTGGTGAGACAACAGACACTTAAGCAACACCTGTATTTTTGTAAAGCTGTGACAAGTTTCATAATTTCCTCTTGTAATTGCTTTCGTCCCTCTTCCCTCATTCCTATGTCTCTGGATTACATCTAACCGTAAAGGTTAGGACTTAGACTGTGATATTGTGAATCTGAATTTTTCAAAGTTGAGAGGCTGGTCCTAATCTTTTAATGTCACTTCTAACTCAGAGATAACAAAATGTTCTCTAATGTAAGGAAAAATTTATATAATGGTATTGTTTGTTTAATGCAGCCATAAATTTGTCTAAACTGCTAATTCCTGGATTATTACATCTCTAATATTTTATTCTCTTTTGTTCAGGTGTAATATTAATAATTCTTAGAGGGTAGATTAGAAGAGCCTAATAAGGAAAGGTGCCCTTTATTTCTCTTTCTTATCTCATTTCCTAACTTTCCAATTTGTCTAACATCTCCCGTAACTTCCTCCTCTATATATTGTTAGACAGATTGCAACTTCCTTCTTCCTTTCTGTACTGATGTAATAATTCATATAGTAACTTTCAATCATTGTGAGTATAGCTAACCTCTGCCTGCACTTTCAGTTGCAGAAGTGAACATAAATTTAAATTTGAAACTTCTTGAAATATGCATATTCATTCATAAACATTTATTGAGTACCAATGTGTAAGCACAGTGATAAGTCGAGGAAAGGCAAAGAATTGATCTGGATCTTACCATAAGTATTAGGTTTTTATAAGGAGACTGGTATTTATGTACTTGAGACAAAAAAAAAAAAAAAAAAAACAATTGAATTCAAAGCAGAATGTGATATGTGGGAGATCAGTTGAACAAACAAAAAGTGCATATCAAATGGTAGAGAATTTGGAGTAGAGCTCTGGAGGGATTTATAGAGGACTAAGGATTTGACATGAAAAATTGGCGAGGACAGATGTTCAGAAAAATATTGATTTATTGAGAATTCAACTTTAGGGTAAAAGCAATTTCACTGGATTAAAAAATATTCTCTCCTGTTATTTGAAATGTCTAGACTGTTGTGTGTATAGCAACTAGATGAGGCTGTCTTTGTATTGAACTATCAGGAGATGAAGTCATTACCATCATCCCCTTTTTTACTGGTAGGATTACTATTGTGACCTAAACCTGACCTTTCAACATGTTTTGTTTATTGCAGAGAGTTAGCCTGAGTTTATTTCTTCTGTAGGGTAGGAAAAGTAACTCTTCCTTCTATCCGTTTTAATTTCACTAGCTGGGGCCCCTGTAACAAAAAGCAGATTAACAAGAGAAAAGAACACAAATTTCTTTTAAGTTTTACGTGACACAAGAAGGAAACTTCCATAAGGAAATGAAGACTCTAAGAAAACAGTTAAACCTGAGTGTTTTCTATAGTAGTTTTGATGAAGATTGGAGGGTTGTGGGAAAATATGATAGGAAGAAGCAAAAGTATGAGCTAAATTAATAAACTGCAGTAAACCTAACAAGGCTCGTTTGTTCAGATTTCTCTCTGTGCCCCTTTGTCTTTCAAGATAAAGGATGTTGGTTTCCTCAGTGTATAGAGAGGTTACCTCTCACATGAGACTCTATGACATGCTTTGGGGAAGATCAGAAAGTCCTTCCCTTATAGGTGTCATTTCTAAAATTCCTTCAGTTTAGAATACTAAATATACCAAGACACTACATTTTGGGGTAGTGTGTCCTGAACCCCATCATATCCGTGTACCTAAATAACATAAGTAACTCGTCAATTTTTTATCTTCAGCTTTTCAATCAAGCAAGAAGGGGAAGGAGAAACCTGTTGAATAATTAAGGAGAATAAACTGGTAAAAAAAAAGCCTAACTGAAAGAAATGTAATTTTAAAGTCAGAGAGAATGACATCTTCCACAGCAAACCAATCCTTTAAATAAAGCAAGCAATGATTGCTGAACCACTAGCAAATTTTTTGCAAGACAAAACTCTCTTAGACTTCTCCAATAAAGAATAATTTCCTAGCCAGGGCAAGAGAGACAGAGAGAGACTGAGACTCTGTCTCAAAGAAAAAAAAAAAAAAGAATAATTTCCAAGCTTGTCAGATCTAAACAAATGGAACTAAATTGGACAGAGCTATTTAAACTGATAGATTAATAGGGGAAAAAAATTGTCTTTAGTGTTGATGCTTGATTTTCAGTCTCTTGAACTTCCACGTACATTTAAGATTATTTTTCCTCATTCAGTTATAAAGGTGTGTTCCTCAATGATGAATTTGTATCAGAATAGTTTGGCTGAAATTTGCCAGGGGATTTTGCCATTCTGTTGTATTTTTCATTGTAATACAGGTATGTCTCTAAATGAGACAAACTTTATTAAAAAAAAAAAAAAGAATTGTAGTATTTTTCTGTTTGTGTTTCATGGTCCTTTAATGAAAAGAACAGGGTTTCAGAGGCCTGGATTTAAAAAGCAAGGACACAGGCTATCTGTGAAGTTGTAATACTTGCCTTTTCTTTATAACTAGAATCCTGGCAAATGCTGTTGATATTGATAGAAGTGTCTTCATACATAATTGCCAGTCATACAATAAATAGAGTAATAGAGGATCTGTAAAATAGTTACAAGTTGTAAAAAAACAAAGGTACCCCATATAAAAAAGAGGTCATGAGAGATCTGGAAAGTGTGCATATATCTAGGAACAGTTTCAATATATTAATAATACTTAAAATTATTGGTTATCAATTAGAAAAAAAACAGAAAAGTGCAGAAAATGTTAGGGGTAATTAAAGCAACTAATAATGATAATGTTTGAGGTCATGCTGAAGCTTTATGGGTACATTTATGCTCATGTGTTCGCTGGGGTTTGCTCTAAATTTTCTTTCAGTGGTTATTTTTGACATCTCTGAGTTTGAAAAGTACTAAAGATGGGAACTTTTACCATTAGATGTTGGTTTATAAAATTAGGATATTTTAACAAAAGAAAAATATTTGATCCTTTTATATAATTTAACCTTAAATCATTTATAGAGCCAAGAACATGCTTTTATAAGATAAAATCTCTTTGAACCTTAGTTTCTCTTTAATCTTCAAATTACATTTTAAAGAATGAAATATTAGGAATTCCATCAATAAATTTAAATAGAAATGGATTCATTTGAACTAATGGCTGACTAAAATGGTGACATTACCATATTAAACATGATGATTTGGTATATTATATTACACATTTTCGTTTATTTCATGAAAAGTATAATTTTTATTAGCAGTAATTCAGAAAAAATGTGAGTTGACTTCATGTAACTATTCTCCACGTTATAAAAAGGCTTTAACTGATATTGTTTTGTTTTAGTTGTTTTGTGGAACACTTGGTAAAATATTCTAAACACTTTGCACCATTGTTCTTTAGTTTCAGCTCAAATTCTCAAGAGCAACCTTGCAGCAATGGAACAACAAATTGTTAATTTGGAACGTGACATCAAGAAATTCCCCCAAGCAGAAAATCAACATGATAAGTTTGTGGAAAAAATGACAATATCCTTTGTTTATTAAGCATTTTGTTTATTTGTTAGTCTCTGTCTATGTGTCTGTTTACTAACTGGGTGGTTAGTTCTAGACTTGCTAGTCTATTCACACTGTCTGGGTGAATTTGTGTATATGCTATTTTTATATTGGCAGCATAAATTTTGTTTCATGATGTTTTGAACCAGATAGAGTAAGCAAGGGAACAATTAGATCGGAAAAAATGTCGTTTCTCAGAGAAGGATTTCATTTGAAAGCTCACAAAATATGCGAGGTAAGTCTTATGAGGCTTAATTATACCTAAACAAAACAAAGAACATTCTTCTCTAGGCTAGTCTTGGTGGCTCAGCCTATAATCTTAGCACTCTGAGAGGCTGAGGCTGGAGGATCATTTGAGCTCAGGAGTTGGAGACCAGCCTGAACAAGAGTGAGACTCTCTGTGTACTAAAAATAAAAAAAAATAAGCTGGCCATGGTGGCAGGCACCTGTAATCCCAGCTACTCAGGAAGCTGAGACAGCAGGATCACTTGAGCCCAGGAGTTTGAGGTTGCTGTGAGCTAGGCCGATGCCATGGCACTCTAACACCAGGCAACAGAGTGAGACTCTGTCTCAAAAAAAAAAAAAAAGAATATTCTTCTCTAGCCAAATGTTTAAAGGAAATGATCAACAGGAAAAGAAGTTTTTTGTCTGAGTTTTTTTTTCTTTGTGTGCATATATTTTCTGAGTACATGTGCATTTTCAAGGGTAACCAGAGGATAACTAGTATCAGTAAGCTGAAAAAAATGTGAAGGCTAAATGGATACATGCATGGATGGATAAATTGATCAATAGGTGATATATTTAAATAAATAGTAGATAGCTATATAACATTAAGAATTTCTTGTTAAATAAACATTTTTGAAACCCCTATTTTACATGCGGTATATTTATATAAATTAAAGAAACATATGAAAGGAGAACTTGAAAAATAGCATTTAGCTTGAATTGTTTAATGTTAAATCTGGCGTCTAAAGATAAACTACATTACAGTTGTTTTTTTTTTAAGTTTTATTTCTATTTTGGTTTTCAAAAGTTAAAGCCATATCCTCCTCCTCTGGGTTTAAATAAATATCTTGAACTGCAGATTGATTCACTATTTTATATCTCTAGAGGGAATAAATACTGTAAATTCTTTATCTGATAATAAGTAAATTCCTTCAACAACTATATGACAGTCACCTTGTTTCAAGGTTAAATCTATTGCCTTTTTGTACTCAGATATGTTTTCTTTCCTGCCCAACTTGGAAGTTACTGAGTTGAACTCGAATTACTTAAAAATGGCAATTTAGGTATATGTAAAAATTTTTTTCACTCTCAGTGTTTTGGTTCATGAATTAATACTTGTTTTGTATGGTCCTTGAGTGATTCTGAGTACTTTCATAAATATAGATATTAGAAACATAAGTTTGTGAGTGATTGGAGTCAGGGAGTCCTCAAAAATAACCTTGGATTGCAAAACCAGCCACACTGGGATACTTACCGTGAAGGTTTCATTTTATTGCTGATTAGATTTTTTTTTCAAATGTGTTATATTGTTCTGTGGCTGGAAACACCATCTTCTTCTTCCACCTCTTGATTTGGGTTCTGGCCTCATGTATTTGAATTTAATTGATGATCCCCTTGTCCTTTTGAATATTTTCTTCTACAGTTGGCTGGTGGCCACACAACAGCTTGCACTATTGAGTCTTTGTTGCTAATTTAGAAAAAGAAAAGTAATTTCAAACCCTCATGAACTTGGCCTGGGCTCCTTGTTTTATTTCTCTCTTTATGCAGGTAATTAAGCACTTTAAAATGAAAATCCAGAGCCTTTTGTATCTGTATGTTACAGATGAACGGTTATTCTTCGTTTAAGTGGCACTAAAGTGTGACTGTTTGTCCACAAGGGAATTGAAAACTATATTAAAATGTGTGGAGCTGGTACTTTGCATATCATATTTAAAAAAATAAAAAATAAAGCAATTTATTTCAGAGAAAAAATAGAATATTGAGTTGAATTGGTTAAGAACTATGAATTAATGGATTACAATGATAAAATTATTCTTGCTTTGGAAGACTCCTTGGTTACCCATTGAGAATTTTGATCTTCTAGAAAGAGACAAACAAAATGCATAATCCTTATATGTATATATGTTATGTTTGTTCTGGTGCCTACTTGATATTTTTCTACCCTTCTGGCAATTCAAAAAGAAAGGATACTTTATTGTGGGGTACTTGATCCTCTTTTAAAATTACAGCCAGGGTTCAATTTCTAGTATAGGATTCTTTTTTTCTGGATGATCTTTCTAATATTTCTATCCCCTGCCAATAAATTGTTTTGCTTCAGGTCACTGGCCCTTTAAATTGAATAACTAGGTGTACAAATATGGCAATAGTTTCCCTTGAAAGTAACCTTACCTGCTTACACAATAATCTCTCTATAAGGACTGTGAGTTCAAAAACTGAATAGCACTCCCATACCTCTGTGGTTTCAGAGCCACAACAGTGCTATGGTTAGCAGCAATGGCATGATGACCACAGGACAACTGAATATGCAGATTGGATCTTCAACAAATCTCCAGCTTGGGCTATGTCCTGTAACACCATATGTTCACCTGTACTCTTTCACAATTATGATTGAACACTTAAAATATGCTAGGCATTGCCAGGTCCAGAAAATACAGCAGTGCATAAGATAGAAAACTTGACCTCTGGCTGCAGAGAATCTGGCATTTACATTCTCTCTGTCTTGCTGTCCCCATGGCAGAGATCATGCCTGGTTTGTTAATTGCTATATGCCCATCAGAGTGCCCACTACCTAGCACAATATAGGCACCCAGTAAATATATGTCAAAGCACGGAATATTATAGCTAGAGACAATGGAGATGTCCAAGCCTTTTACATAGCACTTCAAAAAGGAGAAATTGTCAAATAGTGGTAGGCTGTGCTTGTAGTTATAAAAATTTTCTTCATATAAACCTCAGGAACTTGAATAACATTGAATCACCTTTTTAGAGCATACCTGTAAAGTATAATTAGTTTTAGGAGGGAGGATCCACAGCTTTTAAAGTAAATGTCAAAAAAAAAAAAAATTGGCCACAAAGCCCAAAAGAATAAAACTTCTCCTGGAGTGGCCAACGCTATATCCAGCCTCCTGAAACCACTGGCATTACGAGGAAATTCATCACTTCTGTCTTTTTCTCTACCCAAATTGGTTGCTTGTTCTGACTCAGAAAAAATTAATTGGTATAGGGGAGAAAAGATTTCTTTCCTCACCCATCACAAGGTTCATGGCTGATACCCTGTAATAAAAGATTAATGAGAGAAAAGCATACAAATTTATTTAATGTGAGTTTTGTTAATACATGACATGGGAACCTTTGTAAATGAAGACCAAAGAAATGGGAAAACTGTGTATTTTTATGGACAGTTGTTCAGAAGTATGATTGGAGGACAAAAGGGTGGGATCTAATGGTAATCAACTGCATGGAACTTAGCAAGGTCTGTTTGTTTAGATTCTTCTGGCCTCTATATGATATTGCTTTCCTCTGGGTATAGGGCAAGAACACCTGTCATATAAAGGTCTTCAGAGGAGGAGGGAAAATGAAGGCCAGAATGTTACCTTCCCAGGTTTTATGGCCTGCTTCAGGGAAGAAGGGGCAAAGGGAGCTCTAGTTTCTATGGCCTGCTTCAGAAGAGAGGGGGCTGGAGAAGGTCAAAGAGACTTTCCTGCTTCTGTGTTTTACTTCAATTTTCTTCATCTTAAAATGCTCAGTATGCCAGTTGCTATGGTTTTAATGTTTGTGTCTTCTCCAAAATTCATGTTGAAACTTAATCCCCAATATAACAGTGTTAAGAAGTGGGACCATGAGGAGGTGATTAGGCCATGAGGGCTCTGCCCTCATGGGTGAGATTAGTGCCTTTATAAGAGAGTTTGAGAGAGAAAGTTTGACCCTCCTTTTGCTCTTTTGCCCCTCTTTTGCTGATGTGAGAACACAGCAGGAAGGCACAGATTCTTGCCAGGCACCAAATTTGCTATCGCATTGACCTTGGACTTCCCGACATGCAGAACCCTATTTAACCCTATTTAAAAATTACCCAGTCTAAGGTATTTTGTTATAGTAGCATAAACAGACTAAGACACCAAGCTAGCATGTCCTGTACCACATCAATGGAAAGAGTAAAATAAAACTAATTTTATAATATTACAAAAGCAGGAGAAATGGGGAAATTCTCTCATAAATTATAAGTGGGAGGTTCTAGAATTAAGGGAGCTGATCTATAATGCATATATTAATAATAATATATATATTAAAACACATGATGTTCAAAAATCTAGATAATTATGTAGGGAAATTAGTGCTAGTATTCTGATTTTTTAAAAAGCAAAGTTCTTATTATTCATGCTAATATGCTCATCATAATCATAGCATTGGAAGATTTTAGTTCAATTGTTTATATAGAGAATTGAAATAGAATCTGTACTAGATTTTTAGTAAATAATAAAAATGATGATATAGTCATACTAATTTATTGAATGTTTACTGTGTCAAACACTGCCTAATTTTACATACTTAGAATTTTAAAAAATATTTCCATATATTAAATAGAATTCTCCATATCTGATGATAAAATTGACCACAGTTGTCCCTGTGTCATTGAGTAAGGTAGAGTCAAGTCAGGATAAGTTCAACTACTCACAAAATTTTTTGCCATGGTGTCATTGTTCTCAGTTTATTGATTTCTAGGGGTCATATCATTTTATCTTTTAAGGTTACCAGGAATTCTATAGTCTCTGTCTGTATAGATATTGGTAGGATGAGGTTCAGAATTACATCCAGTTTCCATGCTTTGAAGAATAACCTATACTTGAGAGAGTGAGAGGACTCCTTGCCAATCTTAGGTTTCTTCTTCTTTTTCTTCTTCTTTTTTTTTTTTTTTTTTGTTTTTTTTGGAGACAGTCTCATTCTGTTACCCCAGCTAGAGTGCTTCATGG